AAAAAAAACAACAACTCGAACAAAAAAGGGCTAGAAACGAGACCAAAATTCACTAAATGTGATTACTGGTCACCCGACCCGAAACAACGGAGCTTGGCAAAAATTTATAGTTCATCGTGATTTTCCTCAGCTTTATCTTCCTCTTCATCTTCTTTTGTCTCCTTCTCCTTCTCGTCCTTCTCATCTTTGTCTTCCTTCTCCTTCTTCTTCTTCTCCTCCTCTTCTCGCTTCTTAGCTTCTTCCTCCAACTTCTTCCTTTCTTCCTCATCAGCCTTCTCCTTCTGCTCCTTTTCAGCTGTCTTCAATTTGTCGAATGTCTCAGCTGCATGCGCCTTGGCTTCGTCAACAGAATCGGTGACGAGAATATTGTCGAAGATTGTGCCAGACTTGACTTGCCAAAGATCGAAACCAATTGCTCCCCAGTCTTTGTACAGATAGAGCTCATCATCAGGGGTGTACTCTGGATTGTCAATTTCTGGGTGGATCCACTTGCCCTTGAAGTTAGGGTTTTTGATCTGTTTAGGCTTCCATTCTCCCTTGTACTCAGGGTTGTCAATCATGGGCGGCTCCCACTCTCCATCCATTTCATCATCCCAATCATCTGGCTTCTTGGCATCTGGGTCAGGAATGTGCTCTGGCTTGTCCCAGTCTTCAGGCTGCAAGATTAAATTTCATTTATTTACAGACGCTACTACTGATATTTTGCAAAGTCACCTTCTTGTCATCGGCATCATCGATGTACTCTCTCTCATCCCAGTCCTCAGGTTTTTTCGCATCGGGATCCTTAATCTTTTTAGCTGGAAGAAGATCCCAATCTGCTTCGAGTTCTCCACTTTCGACCTTCTCGCCGTCTATTTGTACTTCGTAAGTATTGTCTGGATTTAGTATCATCGTATATAGATGTGTGAGTTCGTCATCCTGAAATGATGAGTGAATCACACAATCATTGGGAAAACACGAAAACGTTAAATTTCAATACGCCAACGTCAACATATTACAGAAAAAAGCAAACTGGACCTTGCATCGAATATCCTTCTTGATAAGATGATTCTTCCCCTTGTAGCTGAGAATGGCGTGAACCTTCTTGGTTGGTCCACAGATATCAGGACCGAACATTACATTGTAAGGAGTCTCACCATGGAAGTCAGCCAAATCGACATCGGAGCTCATTACCTGAAAATTCTCACCGTGGCTTCCTCATTCTACAACAGATCTAAAATAACTGCAAAAAAAAACTGAAGTAAAGGTCTGAAAAAAAAATATGCCGGACGATAAAATATAGAATTTAGCTCAACGTAGCATGCCGTAAAACATTTGGAATTTTCCTTCAATAATCTATGTTCAAACATGAATAAGTTTGACCTAAGCAACCTCATAGCATAATGAAACAAACCTTCACGTAGCCACCACCGCAATCAATTCCTTGCTCATGCTTTACTGTGAACTGGATGACAACTGTTTTGCCCTTATTGGAGAACGGCTGAAAAGCATGTTTGTTGAATCATTGCTAAAAAGGTCGCAAAAACATACCTTCGGGAACTTGGCCGCACGGGAATAAAACTTTGCATCCTGGCTGGTCTTTATTCCTTGATCTCGTTTGGCATCACCATAGAATTTACCAGCAGACAATTTAAACTCTCCATAGTCATCCTTATGTTTTGATTGCACCCATCGCTTCTCCCAGGAGTCATCTGCAAAACGGGCATAATGGCAAATAATTCCACAACATTGTGCCTGATAAAAATTGTTTGGAAGGAGTTTGAGAAGGTGACTGAAGGCATTGACTGCCAGCTGTGTAGTCTAAATTTCAAAAAAAAAA